AAGAAGCGAATTAAGAAAGATATATTATAGGACATTCTACTTTGCATTCCCCAAAATGACACAAAGAAGCGAAATAAATAAAATATTCTACTTTGCATTACCGACAATGCCTAAAAGAAGCGAAAAAATTCCAAGGCATTACAACGCTATGCCTTCTAGAACACGTTACCACTAAAAGCGATTACCGATTTTTTGCTGGGCATGTTCAAATTTCTTTGAACCGGGATACATATCTGCCTGTATCTGTAATAAAGTTAAATATAGAACAAACTTAGAAAAAAAACACAGGGCAACACTGATTTTGGCGTGGCAAATGTTAACGCTGGTTTTGATAGACTTTTTGGGGCTGATGAAGAATACGTAAGTACAAAGTTTCCATCAGCTCCAGATTTTGAGAAGAACGAGGTCAAAGCGCCGAGAAATTGCGTGTTTTGCAATACTTGAGTAGCCCTAGCAAAGAAACAAAAGGTCACAGAACCTCATACTTGCGCTTAAATTAAAGCTAGGACTCTTGACTACTATCCCAAAGAATACCACCCCTGGAACTTGACCCGAATCGCAGTTCAGAGCGCCATACTCTCTTCTTGATCATGAAGGGGAAACCGCATAAAAAGAGACCTAAGTGTACTCCAGTCATGATTTTTAACTTTGTATAATAAATTTGATAACATTTTCTTAACACAATTGTATTAAGTAATCCGCAGTTCCCTTGTGGTGTCATCAACATTAGCCTTTTTCTTTGATTCTGGTCCACTATCTCGACAGTAAGATGCTGACCTCGTTAAAGACTTTTGTTATTTCAGTTTAGCTTTTGTGTTCTGGCGATTCTATGAGCCGGCTTCAGCTGTCAAAAACATTTGCATTTCCTTCAGGTTTCTTTCCAGGACAGAACGGCTGCAATGTCCTTGATCTATGAAGCCCCCCCTTTGTGAATTTTTTATAGTTGAAATTACGCCTGCTTCACCCATTCTTGCTCTGTGTTAGTTCTAATTATGCTTTAAATTTCTAAAAGCTTTTAAGTGCAATTGTAATAACTGTGCCATGCACATAAGGAGGCTGCGCATCCTTGTGCCTTTTCAAGTGAATCCAATTAATAAGCATAATTTTCGTGTAGTTTGATAAAAAGTGGAATAAAATCCAAAGTAATTACGGTATTTTTATCATTTTCACCACTTTCCCTCAAAATTTATCATTCCAAATAATGAGATCGAAAAGAAGCTTCTCTGATGCCGAAAAGGCCAGATATAAGCTTGGATCTTAAAATAAAAATATGTGTACTTATTCAAGTGAAGTGAACAAAAATATGTGTACTTATTCAAGTGAAGCATTTTGGTATGAATTACGAGCAGAAAATAATGTTAATCATACACTCAATATATGTCCGTACTCATACTTAATCGTACACGGCGTATGAGTAACATTTTCCATGTTAAAGTTTGATATATATTTATATATTTTTTTCATTCATAATGAAAACGTAAAACGAAAATATCTTGTTAAAATGACCTGATAAAATGATGATCTAAAAAAACCTGTGTGCAGATTCGTAGTCGTGACTCGGCGTAACTGAAAAGTGTTATTTGGAGTTCCCTAACTTAAGTCAGACGGAAAAACAGAGTTTGTCAACTCCTCGTCGTACTCAGGAATTATGACTTCTTACGATATATTTTTCGCTTATGTATATGTATAAGATTCACCTCGTGCAACAACTGCAGCCAGAGTTGGCCATTCACAGCTTTAATGCAAGAGAATATTCCCGGACGCATAATTATACGATTTTCTCTTGCATTCCATGATTAGTCAAATAATTTACATACTTATTTAAACTTTTTTATAAATTGTCTTCATTCAGATCAATTAATCGAGATGTTTTTGTTCAGCAATTGGTCGCAACAAGCAAAATTATATACTCCTATATATGTTAATTCCTTAAGGAATTGCACATTCTCTTTAGTCATACCATTTCGTAAAGTGATACGATATTTCTGAAGGAAAAGTGTCGGAATTCATGGCATCTACATTACATGTAGTATAGTGAATACTGCTTACAACCCTGCCTTCTCGTGGCATTTCCTATAACATAGATTTCAAACCACAAATACTCGTACTGTACAAATTTTCTCTATTTCATGATCCCTAAGCTTAAGTCATACAATTTGTTCAGGACTTTAATAAAATTTGGCGCCGATGGATAAGTTGCACGAACAGTATACTATCTCATGTTTAAGCTCTTACCAGATATCTAGCCCCTAACGTCAGCCCTGTCAGCAACAAATTTATATCAAGTGCAGCTCACTCTTTAGTAGTTTATTATTTTTGTTGATTGTTTACGCCCTGTTTCAGGAGTCCAGTAGCACTGAGCTATAAATTGGCATATACCTTTACAAATATTTACATACATCCTTTCTAAAACATATTTATGACAAATAGTGTGTAATACGAAGATGCTTAATATTATCTACATATGCATGTATGTGTATGTATTTCTGTAAGTTAGTGATTGCACAGCATTGCCATGTGTGTATACAAGTATTTTTAT